GGGGGGGCGGGGATCTGCAGTTAGTTTCTAGCAATTTATATCCATCCTCAATATGGAGAGGAGGTGTGAAAATCCGATATTGGACTGGATGGCTGGGGCAAGGAAAATGCTTTCTGGGGCTACTGCTCACACTAGCACTGAGGCTACACTCCCTGGAATGGTGCGTAGATGGTAGGATCTGGAGGCAGGAAGTTTGTCTAGGTCCCTTCCCAGGGCCTGTTCCAAAAACTGGGAAGTTTAACTTTCTTTGACTTAACTATGTATTGACAGTCTTATTGCATATAAACCAGAGGAAAAGAAAATGAGTAATGTTATCACCAGATGTACAAGTCTGACACTAAATTGCTTTTAAAATTATAAATGCGTATTATAAATTATATTGTATTAACTTATCATTAGTATCTATACTATGTTAATTATACTTCTTACTATTTGAAAGCATTGATAATGAATTAAACAAAACAAAATATTCCATGGGCTTGTCCTTTATGGAACCAATGGCCATTTCTCCTTTAGATGCTGAATTAGTGCATTTTTAGTATACATCATAATACTTACCTGTCAATGTTAAATGTCCATTGGCTTGGTATTAGTTATAAAATAACATCCTTAGCTGATTCATTTAATGCTACTGTGAGAAATCATGTCTTTTACCTTCACATAGTTGTACTCTAAGAGAATAAACTGTCGATCGGGAGACACGGAGTAGTCACGTACAGAATATTCAAATGTGTCCTGCGGAACAAAGAGAAGAAAAGAGGACGTGAGCATTCAACCAATAGTTTGGAGAACTTACTCTGCGGAGGGCTCTGTTGTAGACAGGGGGCGAGTGCCTTGGGAATTCGTACTAGTTCACATGAAGGACCCCCATGTCAGGTAGGGTGATCAGTACTGCGAACCAGGGGAGAAGGTCGGATTCTGAGGAGAGACGGCCAGGAGAATGGGAGATGAGAACAGAGAAGCAAGAGTAGGAACAAACACCTGCATGAGGGAAAAACGTGCGTGCTCCGAGAATGGGTCAGGGTTATGTGTTACCTGAGGACACTTACCATGATACAGTGTCGGGTGTGCTGGAGGAAAGAGAAGGTTAACGCACATAAAATCAGTCATAGCTGGTGCCTAGATATAAGTAGTGGGACTGTGAGCCCTTTTTTTGCACATGAAAGTGGTAGGATCAGATGTGTCTTAAAAATGTCTTGGTACAACAGAAAAGTAGGTGAAGGAGACATTGGACAGTGTAAGGTATGACAAAACAATAATAATTTATAAATTGTCAAGGGTTCATGAGGGAGGGAGAGGAGCTGATACCAAGGGCTCAAGTAGAAAGCAAATGTTTTGAGAATATGATGGCAACAGATGTACAAATGTGCTTGACACAATGGATATATGTATGGGTTGTGATAAGAGTTGTATGAGCCCCCAATAAAATGATTTAAAAAAAGCCTTGATGACACAGTGGATGAATTGAGAGAGGAGAGCAGAGAGGTTGTCCTGAGCCCTGGACTTAGGCAATGCAAGATGTCCTGGTGTAGAGAGTGGTGACAGGGGCGTAAGCTAGAGCATTGGCTCCCGAAAGGGTGAGAAAAGTGTGCAGCAGGACTATGCAGTGGCAGTGAACCTGGCACCGGAGCGCTCCTTGATGGCGCAGCAGTGTGCTCACGAGGGCTGGCAGAGAGGGCATCGAGGATGATTCTGATACCTCTACCTTCAGTGACTTGGAGAAGAATACTATTTGCCAAGATTGGGGACTCGGGAAGAAGAATAAAATACTTTTGGTTTGCTAGGACAGGAAGGGAGAGTAGTAGTCTAGCTTGGGATTCTGAGCATGCGTGTTCAGGAACCAGCTGGTGACAAGAAAGGGTGATTTGGATCTGGAGGAAGTTAGTGGTAAACATGCATACATGAGAGTAAAAGCCATCAAGACTGTGAAAGCAGATGAAATGCACTTGGGAAGGAGAACATGCCGCCACAAGAGAGGTGAGCTAGTGAGGACAGAGGCCCAAGGAGCACTTACATTTAATTGTATGGGCAGGGTAAAGCTCCTCAATGGAGACAAAGAAGAGCCAAAGCAGGGAGCCTCTCCCGGAGAGAAAGATCCACGAGCCGTATGGTAAAGAGCGAGTCCAAAGGATGAATTCTCATGATTGGAAAGGTTATGTGGAAAACCCCCCAGAAAAACACACCCAGTATTTCCCCAAAGCATGAATTAATTATGTGACAAAACCTACAAATGTACTGTTCTCCAGGAAAACAGAGCTGTTTCCATATTCAGCATTGAATAGCAAGATATTATCATCTTGTTTGTAGAGATATTCATGATCTAAAGAGAGAAAACGTCCAGATCAGTGCTTCACGCTATCAGTCAGCCTCTTCCGAAGCTATAAATTAGCCCACACCAAAGAAAAATTAAGTTCACAGAACTATTAAAGAAGAATTTCTAAACTGTGAAAAAATACCCGCGTACACTCATTTCTGCATCATGCTTTTACCATTTCACTGCACACTTAACTTTTTATAGAACCAACCCCACTGCCACCGAGTCAGTTTTGACTCGCAGCAAGCCTGAAGGATAGAGAACGGGCTCCCAAGGACTTCCGAGGCTGTGACTCACATGGACCCGACTCCGTAGCTGATGCAAAGCAGCTGGTGAGTTCAAGCCAATCACCTTTTTCATTAGCAGTCCCTCACTGAACCCACCGTGCCACCAGGTTTCCTTTAACTTTTTGTAGTGGCTTAGTGGTTACGCATCGGAGTACTAACCACAAGAACAGCAGTTTGAGTCACCAGCCACTCCTCGGGAGAAAGACCAGGCTCTCTACTTGCCTGAACAGTTCCAGTCTTGGAAACTCACAGGGCAGTTCTGCCTTGTCCTGTAGAGTTGCTATGGGTTGGCATCGACTTAATGGTGGTGGTTGTGTGTGATCAAAGAAATAGGATCCCTGCTAAGCAAACGGTTAGTAGTTTGAAGCCACCAATCGGCATCTCGGGTCAGTTCGGTCACATGGGGACTCTATGAGTCAAATTCAACTCCATGGCATGTAACAATATGAAAGAAATACTAAGATTTCTCTTTCCATCTTCTCTCCCTTCAGATCCCCAAACAGAGGAAAACTCTCCCTTCACAAGGTCTGAAAGTACAAGAGTTAAAGTTCCCCATAACCCTAAGTAGAATGAACAAAAGCCTAAATTCTGTCCATATCCCATGCCAAATTCTTACCTGAAATCCACCGTAAGGAGTAGAACTTCAGTTTAAAAGTATTTTTTAAATAATCCGTTAAAGTATAAGTTCTGCCGGTGTTAGCTTCATCATCTGCTGGTTGGGGGAAAAAAAGAGCCAAATTATCAATAAAATGAAACAACATCAGTTTCAGATAAAAATAAATGAATGGATCTCTTTAATCTATTCTGATGGCAAAAATGCAGCAACCCACTAACAAGATGCGAGCTATACCTATAGTGATTTCATACCACGTGGATGCAGAGAAAAAGGGCATTTAACTGCTCAAGCATACACAAGTCCGTCTTATCCCATTATTGGAGGTACATTAACACCACTTGCAATTTTGATCAAATATGCTATAGGAGAATCTAGATAGAAAGCGACTTTGGAATTTCTGGATCCATCGAGGCTGGCTGAACCTCTGACATTATGTCCTAAGCTAATCGTTACATCTGAAACCCAAACTGCCCCAGCACCTGAATGGTGCTTGCAGAAGTTTTGACGTCGCGTACCTCTCACTGGGTAGTTTCATGGCAACAACAAACATAAATTAAAAAGAAGAAGAAGGCGCCTGGGGTCTTCTTAAAACTAAGCGATAGCCCAGCTAGTGAAAACAAATGATCTAGAAAGGATCAGAATGGCAACATGAAACATCAGAAAGGAGCCTACAGGTCAGTGAGTTCACGTTACTGCAGGAGGAACAACGCAGCCAGGAGAGCTGTGCACCCTGAAGAAATGAGTACACTGCTCGGGTGAACACTGCTGAGTGGGTGGGCGCTCGCTCTGCGTCTCATTAAAAACAACAGCACAACATTGTTCAAAGAAAAGCCCCTGAGTGGCAAAACAGGGAGGGTAAAGGGAGAATGGGTAGGAAAGAGGGAAACGATTACATGGAACTGTGTGTGACCTCCTCCCTGGGGGACAGACAACCGAAAAGTGGGTGAAGGGAGACGTCGGACAGGGCAAGATATGACAAAATACCCATTTATAAACTATCAAGGGCTCATGAGGGAGGGGGAGAGGGGAGGGAGGGGGAAAATGAGGACCTAATATTGGGGGTTTAAGTGGAGAGAAAATGTTTTGAGAAACGATGTACAAATGCCCTTCACACAATTGATGTGTGTATGGATTGGGATAACAGTTGTATGAGCCCCTAATAAAATGTTAAAAAAAAAAAAAAGAAAAGCCCCAATCGTCTTAATTGCCAAGAATACAATTCGCACATAGACTACGTCTATACATCTCTATGGGGTATACACTGGAAATATCAAGCTATGTTTGAATCCATTCCTGCCGCCATGATGTCAATCCATCTAATTGAGGGCCCTTCTCTTTTTGGGTTGTGGTCCTCTGACTTGATCAAGCATGATTTCCATCTCCAAGGATTGGTCCTTCCTGATGATATGTTCAGTGGGAAGGAGACAAAGTCTCACCATTCTTGACACCAAGTAGCAGCCTGGCTGTATTCTTCCAAGACAGATTTGCTTGTTTTCCTGTTAGTCTAGACTAGCTTCAACATTGTTCTCCAGCACCACAATCCAAATGCATCATTTTTCCTTTAGTCTTCCTTGATTCAAGGTTGAGCTTTCGCAGATATGATTTAAAAACACCATGATTTGGGTTAGGTTAACGCACCTTAGACCTCCAAGTGACTTATTTGCTTTTCAACACGTTGAAGAGGTCTTTAACGAAATCTGCGAAAACCCGAACTTAGAAATCCAAAAGGAAACAGGCTCAGCATTTCTCAAAGTGAAACAACAGAAGAAAAAAGTTAAGCCTCTGATGACAATTGTGAAGCCTTCTGACGCAGAGAGCATCGAAGAAGATCGAAGGACTGCGTGGAATCAGTGCACAAAAGCTAACTGGTTGGTGTTCCACTCTCTCAGGAGATAACATATGATCAAGAAATAATAGTTTTGAAGGAAGATATACCAGCTGCACTGATGGCATTGGCAAAAACCTATAGAAAATAGTGACTAAACATCTAGATTTGCTTGCTTAACGCCTTCCATTGTTTGTACTCGTGCTGGTCAACTAATTCTTTCACAAATCACACAGTAATAAAGTGAATGCCAAAAACAACCAACCAAGCAAAAGCCACAGGCTCATTTTTGTCCAGTGAATCTCAACTCATAGCAACGATACTGGACAGAGTGAAACTGCCCCTGTAGGTTTCTGACAGAGTCAACTGCCACACCTTTCTCCCGCAGAGCAGCTGCTTTGAACTGCCAAGCATTCAGTTAGCAGCAAAGTGCTTAACTACGAGGCCACAAAGGTTCTTGATGAGAAATACTTGAAAGTGTTGTTGATAATATATACTTGCTATTAGGAACTTTTAATCTAGAGAAGGCATAGAACACATACAGGAATTAGTACAATCCAAGGTAGACATGGTACATGTGATAATATTAGAAATGTGCAGGCCTAGTATTATCTCCTGATAAATAAACCTTTATCTGCTCCCCATACTTATTCAATCTGCATGCTGGAAAAATAACCCGAGAAGCTAGACGCCCTGAAGAGAAACACTGCGTCACTATTGGAGGTAGGCTCATTAATAACCTGCAATATGCATGTGACACAACTTTGCTTACTGAAAAAAATAAGGATTTGAAGCACTTAGTGATGAAGAGCAAAGGCTACACCCTTTGATATAGATTATATTTCAAGATAAAGAAAACCCACATCCCCATAACTGGACTAATAGCTGGCAACGTGATACATGGAGAAAAGATTGAAGTTGTCAAGGATTTCACTTTACTTGGATCCACAATCAATGCCCAGGAAAGCAATAGCCAAACAAGCGAATGATGCATTGCATTGGGCAAATCTACCCCAAAAGAACTCTTTAAAGTGGTAAAAAGCAAAGATGTCATTTTAAGGATTCAGGTGCACTGGACCACATCACGGTATCTTCAATCACGGCTTAGGCGGGTAAGAACTGCGCAGCGAATAAGGAAGCCTGCCGAAGAATGTACGCACGCGGATTTTGGTGCTGGCAACGAATACTGAGCGTCCTATGGATCACCAAGGAAAGGAACACATCTGTGTGAGAGGAAGGACAGCCAGAATGCTCTTCGGAACGAGGATGGCTAGGCTTTGTCTCACTCACTATCTGCATGTCATCGGGCAGGACATCATGTTTAGCAAAATTGAGAGTCGGAGCAAAAGAAGACTGACAATGAGATAGTTTGATAGAGCGGCTTCAAGCTTAGTGAGCCTGTGAGGATGGCTCGGGACCGGCGAAGTTTCATTTTGTTGTGCATAGGTCACTATGAGCTGGAAACAACTTGACATCCTTAACAACAACAACAACAACAACACCCCTACAGAGAGAGATAGACAATGAGCATACACACATATTTATAGAATCTCTGGGGGGCAGTGATTAAGTGCTTGGCTACTAACCAAAAAGGTCAGTGGTTTGAACACACTAGCTGCTCAGCAGGAGAAAGGTGCGTCAATCTGCTACTACAAAGATTACAGCCTAGGACACCCAACACATTAAAAAACAGACTCACGGCTGTCTAGTTGATGCCAACTCACGGAGACCCTATAGGACAGGGTAGAACTGTTGCTCCTTGAGTTTCTGAGACTGCCATGGTTTAAGGGAGTAGAAAGCCCCATCTTTCTCCCATGGAGCAGCTGCTGGTTTTGAACAGGTAACCTTTTGGATCACAGTCCAATGCATAACCACTAAGGCACCAGGGCTCCAGAAAACCCTATAGGGCTGTCTTATTTTGTCCTGTAGTGTTGCTAAGCATCAAAATGGACTAAGTGACAAATGAGAACTATATATATATATGTATACATATATATGTACACACATACATATATATTCACATGTATATTTATTTCTATATATTTACCGTATATCTGTCAGAGAGCAGACAGAGCAGACATATCAACAGAGTGCATCTATCACTGATTCTCGATTTTGTAAGAAGGGAGCTAACTGGGTTCCTACAGTCAATTAGATTCACTGCTATCTCATGTATATGCTAGCTCATGGGAGATAATTGCCCAGGTTGTTTCAGGACAGCACATTTCTATTCAGAATACTGAAACAGATTCCCTCCGATGTCTCCTGCTCAGGGTCCTGCACTTTCGGCTCATGCTGTGTGCCTCGCTGAGCATTCATTACTCTCCCAGTCTCCTCAGACATCCTTTTACCAGGCTCAGTCTTTCACCAGTTTATCAACTTTCCAAATGCAACACCCTTACCATATTGAGGCTCCATTTGGTGCATGATGGACTCTGAATGGATTTGAACCATCCACAGCACAACTGCTAAGCTCAAGGTTTGGAGTTCAAGGCCACCAGTTGCTCTACAGGAGAAAGATGACTGCTAACTACTCCCATCATGATTTATTTACAGCAGCAGACACATGGTTTAGGCTCAGTATGTATCAGCATTGACTTGAGGGCAGTGGGTTTGGTTCGCTGAGGTTCCCACACTCTTACAACGGCCCAGGCTACCCCCGCAAAGCCCGTGCCTACCTTGGCTTGGAGTAGGCTCCTCAGCTGCTTCCTAATGATTCTGCAGCCCTATTTTCCCTGGATTGGCCACCCAGTTCCAGAGCAGCCTGCTAAATTGGAGGAAGGAGCACAACAAATGTTTCTTGGGTGGTTGGGGTTTTTTGGTTGTTTTGCCTTGCTATTTGATAAGCAGGGCACATTGGAAGGCACTTTTGAAACCTCCAGATAAGCGAGTTCTGTGACACGTGAGTGCCAAGTCCAGGTTTTGACCTTTAGCGAGTTGGTATGTGGCTGCCAAGTTGCATCCTCTTCTGTCACGTTCTTATAGACACGTTCACATTTCTTCTTCCTTGCGTAATTGCTCACTGTCAGTGCACTGCTGCAGCAACAGATGAAGGCCGTTGGCTGCTCATACACTTCCCTGTGCGGCCTGGGACATGCCGTTCGTTTGACTTATCAGTTGAAAGCATTGTGCTAGCCAAGTAAAGCAGCTAGTCATGTTACCCATCAGCATATACAGACACACTTAGATTTGAGCATTCTTTCATTTAAAAAAGAAATCAAGAAAGGTTATCAACTTTACATTTTAATTCTCTGGCGAAATGCTCAGCTGC